TTGATATACAATCTTGATATGATATTTGTTTTAATGGTCATCAACGCTAGTTTCAGTCGTTGCTACCATCGACGGTCACCGATAGCCACCTCCACCTCCACCTCCACTATAACAACATCCTACATCGCCTCCACACCCACCGTCTGCCATCGTCTATCACCATCTCTACCATAGTCGACCATCGACCACCACCGTCAATTGCCACCATCACTACAGCCATTCGCCACCTCCAACTCCTCCCCTACTACAACAACCTCCTTCACCACTTCTACAACCACCGTCGACCACCGATCACCACCACCCATTACCACCAACACTTCCACCTTTGGCCACCTTCAACTCCTCCTATACCGCAACAACCTCCTCCATGACATCCACAGCCACCGTCGATCACCGACCAACACTGTCCATTGCCACATCTACAACCACTATCGGCAACCGACCACCACTATTCATTGCCACCACCACCACCACTGTTGGCCACCTCCACCTCCTCCTCTACTATAACAACCTCCTCCACAACCACCGTCCATTGCCACCTCCCCTCCACCATAAACACCACTATCTTCACTACACTAGACACAACTACCTCATCCACCGTTGTCAACTGCCACCACCACTACAATCCACCATCTTCACGTTCTCTGCGACCACCGTCGCCCACCAACCACCACTGCCTCTACCTCCATAACCACCATCGACCACCGCCCATCGCCACTACTACCGTCGGCCACCATCACCTCCACCATAACCAAAATCACCTCCACCACCATTACTACTACCATCAAATATATCAACTAACTTCATTCAAATTTGGTACCATTATATATGTATGTATTTATTTATATGAAAATTGTGTAAAAATATTTATAGATTAATTTTTTTAATTATTTACTTTATTTGGGTCAATTATAACCATTATATAGTATTTGAAATCGTCAAATAACTTTTGAGGGTAACTTGTCTAGTTCTGTTCCGTCCAGTCCTAATCGTACCAAACACAAGACTTACACTTGTTCTGTCCAGTCCAACCCGTCTAGTCTTGTCCGATCCTACCCTCTTGTTCAGTCCAGTCTAGTCCAGTCCAATCATGTATGCGTACCAAACGCTACCTAAACGTTTCACCGCTAAAAAGATGATGAGGACCGAAAAAGATGAAAAATCCCATTTTGTACACAACATGTGATCACATCTAACATATTGATTTAAACAATATCTAGATAAAGAACCAAGAGTATCTCCAACAATTAAGCTATTTTAGAAAATTATGGAGATTTGAGAAAAGTTTCATTCAACAATTATGTTAAACTCTCTTCTAAAATAATAATCTATACTATATTATAAAGCATTTGACAAAAACTCTTAAAAACCACTTTTTATACGTAAAATACTGTTTATTAATGCATATTACTTAAAACTCAAGATTGCAAGTATATTGTGCATAAATACAACTTATTAAAGCTCTATATCTGAATTCATGTAACTAATTGCAGATAAACATAATCAAATACAGGATAAACATCTCATTTTAAATATAAAAAATCTAAAATATAATTAGGATAATCATTTAATTTAATAGAATACTTAATTATTATCTTTATAAATTTTATAATATTAAACCAAAAATAAATCATTTCATTATTAAACTTAAATTAAATTATAATAAAAAAATAAATTAAAGAAATTACATAAAAAATGATAACTTTTAAATAGTTGATTTAATACTAATTTCGCTTATTTTTAAAAAAATTTATAATATTTCATTCAAAAATAAAAACATTTTATTTTTTCTCAAAATCACATAAAATCGCATTATAACATCGATAGAGACAAAATATAAAACGAAACATTAAAATTAAGATGTATCTCGCTGCATTGCGCGAGTACCCTTCTAGTAATAATAATAAAAAAAAAATCTTCAAATTTGAAAAAAAAATAGATAGACCATATAACTTAGGAGTCAAAAATGATATAATTTACTAGGAAAAAGAAAATCAAATTTGGACCAAAAATGCAACAAATAGAACTTTTGAATCAAACGTACATATTGAATAATAGCACATGTACTATTTTCGTAATTAATATTAAATATAAAAAAATAATATATATTATTTTCGTTTCTTTAAAAACAACTAGAAAGGTACTCGTGCAATACATCGAGATGCATATTGATTTCAGTATTTCCTTTTATTTCTTTTTATGTCGATATAATACGATTTTATGAGGTTTTGAGAAAGTGAAAGTGTTTTTATTTTTGAATAAAATATAAATTTGAAAACATTATAAAATTTTGAAAAAATATATATCGATATCAGTGTCAAATTAATCTTTTTAAAAGTTTTTGTGTTTCGGTGTAATTTCTTTAATTCATTTTTTTAATTATAATTTAATTTAAGTTTAGTAACAAAGAAATTTAATTTAGGTTTAATAATATAATTTTTTATAAAGATAATAACTAAAGTATTATGTTATAACTCAATAATTATCCTAATTATATTTTATATTTTTTATATTTGAAATGAGATGTTTATCCCATATTTGATTATGTTATCTGCAGTTAGTTATACGAATTCAAATAGCTTTAATAAGTTGTACTTATGCACAATGTACTTGTAATCTTAAATTTTAAGTAATATATATTAATAAACAGTATACAAAACATAAAAATGGTTTTTAAGAATTTTTATCAAATGCTTTATAATATAGTATAGATAGACATGAACGACCGTTAAATCAGACGCTACTCTAAAGCAAAGAAAAGTGGATGGTCTGAATATTGTCATCTTGCAATTTACTCCCATGGTCGTCTTGTCACTTTCTAATTCCCTCCTAGAACTTCAATGATTCCATCCTTTTCACGTCAATTGATGTTTGAATATGTGGGATTTTTGCTCATTCAAAGTCCCCCAAATTATTCAGACCATCCAGAATCACAAAAGAATATAAGAAAATGACCACTAAATCATCGATTATCTACGATGAACCGACAAAAAAGTCTCGATTTCAATAATACATTTCTTCTGTTCAGTCGAAGCTATCTAAGAAGGCCACCAATAGTATTTGATTATGGACCAAGTGTTGTTCAACTTCTCTCGATGCCGTAAGACCTATTCTATCTTTAAAATAATAAAAGTTGGAAGTATTTCGTCACTAAATGAATCACGTTTTTTCGAACCTGTACCGGTTTATTTGGGTATGTCTCAAATTTACTTCTAATTCAAATTGGATTTATATAACACGTAAATGCGTATTTTGGTCCCATGCATGTGTAGCCGTCTTTCAACGTGCCATACATCGTACGGTTAAATTCGATCCTTAAACATAAAATGAACAAATTGACGTCGTCGATTGAAAGGCAAATTGGTTGCTTTCGTAGCATTGTCATGTGGAATAGGATTGAGTCACAATTTTTACTTAGAACTCAATAAATAACAAAAGTTTTTGGTCTCGAGAATGGTTCGTGATTAATTATTTGTTGAGGCTGAAAAAGTCAAAGCTTGAGCAACATTGACCGGGAATTGCAATGATTAATACCGAAAGGAATATGAGGATTTGTGATTCAGGGTTTGATATGTGCTTAATGGAATGAATGACACTTTGTAACAATTCCATGATATGTGAATTGAATTGTTTTCCCAGTAGATGGTAAATTACATGAAAAAAGTAACGTACTTTAATTAACTTGATTCATATTTTGAGTAACGTACTTTCAAAACTTTCATTTTGGTACTAAAGATGTAAAGTCTTAAACATTTAAGTACCCGGGTAACCGGTTGAAGCATTAACCAGTTACCATGCTGATGTGACGAGTGATATGATATACAACTCAATATTATTTGTTATTCAACCCAATTTCATCTCATCACTCGCCACATCAGCATGCTTCAACAAATTACTCGGGTACTTAAAAGTTTAAAACTTTAAATCTTAGGTACCAAAATATAAGTTTTGAAAATATGTTATCTAAAATAGGAATAAAGTTAAAGTACGTTATTTTTTCATGCAATTTGCCCATTAGTAAAATGTATAATATTTTAAAACATACTACATTGAATTAATGGGTTGTTTACTAAACTGTTAATTGGGTGAATGTTTATTGAGTTATTTATCTTATTGGATGAGCATGATAAAAACCGGGAATCTTACCCGGAAACAAACATGACAAGGATTGCGAATCTTATCCGACAAGTGAAAGTGGTGGCTCTTACCTGATTAGGCTTATCGGGCAAGAGACACGTACTGTAACAATCTTACTATGCCATTTTGATGGTCGAAAATCTTACCCCGTAAGATAAGTAAGAATAGTGACTCTTACCCGATAAGTGTTTACACAATTAGCTAGAGATTGGGGGGAGTCCTATAAAGCGTCTATTGGATATATTAATCGACTCGCATAGCAGGTTGGATATACATGTTAATTAAAAAAAAAGCTCACTATGCTAACTTGGGAGAGCAAAGTTTGCAAATTTTCATCATATTGACAATGATAACAAATTAAACTCTATATATAATAACCGATTCAAAATCGATAAATTATCCTAAAACTATCAAATTTGACATAAATTGAAATATTGTTGATATATATTTTATTAACTACTGATCAAAACAACTACATAAAGTTTCTTTCATGTCGTTATCTTCCATCATTTCGACCTTACAATCATATGAATACGACATTAACTAAATACTATTTTATTCACCTAACTGAATTAAATACGCAAATGCATTGGATATAGACTCGGTATTATAAGTGATCATCGTTCAAAAATGAGTCAAGATCATGTTTCCCTTGAATTATTCATTGATTTAATAAAAAAAATATGGGTCTTATCAAGAGACATAACTTAAGAAACGGGTATTGCTCTTTGAACCTTTTTAAGTCACATCAGCGAATTAGAATTTTATAAGCATGCAAAAAGTTTGAACAGTACGTGTAGACGTGGTTCCTTTAGAATCACAAATGAAAGATATAGGAACATTGATAGGGAAAAAGGAATTAGATTAATGCAATATTTTTTCAATGATCCCGTTATTATACTGTTTTACACAATACAAGTTGTATTTTACATTTAAATTGATTATTTCAGTGCTAGAAAAATCAAACCTAAAAATACAGTGCATCATCAAAGGAAATAGCAGTTAAAACATAATCCTTCTTGAAAATGTCCAAATCGTTAACCAAAATCTCCTTCCACAGCAAAGGAGGGGATGATTGTGCATCATTGCCTGATGAAACATTGTCGGATGGATCTTCTTTTCCAAACGAGGGGTCAATTTGGATACTTGTAATAGTCGAGGGGCTACTTGGTAAATAACAATGGTTTGTGAAATCTTTAGAATCAAGGACAACTCCAGGGTGAGAAGAAGCATTTGGAGTTTGGCAAGTGTGATGGCCAAAATATGTGATGTGGAATTTGTTTGATTCATCTTCCAGCTTTTGAACCTGTTTTAATGCTTTACACCCATGAACATACTTGTGTGTGCATCTGAAATAGCATCTGCAGAACCCAAAAACAAAATAAAAATTAATAGATTGTTTGACAGTTGTTGAATGGTTTGATGCAGAATGATTAAGTGGTCAAAATGATTAAGAGGCTCTCATGATATAGTGTAAAATGAAATATAATTGTATGGTAATTGTTTACAATGAAATTAAGGCTCTTAATGGTTAAGGAAGACCCATGATACAAAATCATTTAGAGGGTTTTATAACCATTAAGAGACAACCATTTTTTTGCTAAACAAGATTTATTTCTTAACAATTTAAAGGTTGTCTCTTAATGAAACTATTAAGAGGTAAACAAACAACCCCTAAATTTTTAATCATAAGAAGTTCATACTAGATTTTATTAGCGGAATAAACCTGAGATCATGTAAGAACATATTGTTTTCTCAAGACGTAACATAACAAAATAACACTGTATCTTCATAGAAAACACTGTAAACACCAAGAAAGTACAAAAACACCAAATCAACACAGTAGAAACACGGTGAAGGTTTGTTTTGTACCTTCAAAGTGTTTTACTTTGAAAGTTTAATGTGTTTTTGTTAATTCACAGCTGGAGTCACAGGTTTCACGAAAACCCTAACCCTAACCCTAACGGAGTATATATGAAGAAAATAAATGATTGTAGAGACCTTGGGAATTTAGAGTCGAGGATCTTTTTTTGTCCATATTTCCTCCATGCATGACCATCTTCAATTCTACCACTAATTTCGATCCATGAATCAATGGTTTTTCTGCAATCAAGCAAGAAAAAGAAGGTTAGCATGTTGTACCATGTGCTAAGAAAATTGTACGTTTTACAAGAGGAAGTATATGTACGGACCTTCTCTTGTAACACCCTCTTCGTTCCTTCGTAGTCTGTGCCGGATTCTTGGCGGTGTTGCCGGAGTAAACTTCCGGTACCCGGTTCAGGGAACAAGCTAAACCCAGATGGGGGTTCACTGGAACCCCACAAAACTTGCCGGAATTGCAAGAATTCAAGACCAAAAGGCTGCCGGAGAAAGATCGTGATATTTCCGTCACAAGATCATCAACAGAAACCAACCCATCATCATGAACTTTCTGGCGCAGTAAATTCTGCAGCCTCATTGCAGAATTTCTACCTCTGGTTAGGGTTTCCACCAGTTTTTTCTTGTTTCTTTCCATTTATGATATGAATAAGGTATTCACTATAGGTGCAATTCAGCTTGCCAGACATTTATATATGTGGGAACTTTGGAGAGAGAAACTGTGTATTCAAGAGAGAGAAAGAGCAAGAAAACGAAGAAAATCGAGAAAAAAAAAAGGATATGACGTCTTGCTCTTAATTCAATATGACGTCATCCCAACTTTCTGTTTTAGATTCATAAAGGATTTATTTAATTAAATATAATTTTTCAAAAGATATAATCTTCTTATTATTATTATTATTATTATTATTTTCCAATCAGTAGTATCGATTCTTGATCCAACAAAAGTATTTGTCGGTATATTTTTTAATTTGACATAGATTTTCAACAAAGTGGATTGGATATTTAGTGCTGTTTTTTAGTTACTGGATGGTTTTGTGCATAATTATTTAGTGATCAAAATGATTAAGAATCTTTTATGATATTGTGCAAAATGAAATATAATTGTTTGGTAATTGTCTACAATGAAATTAGGGCACTTAATGGTTAAGAGATACTCATGATACAAAATCATTCAGAGGGTTTTAGAACCATTAAGAGACAAACTTTTTTTTGCCAAACAAGATTCTCCTCTTAACGATTCAGAGATTACCTCTTAATGGAATTATTAAGAAGTAAACAAACAACCCCTTAATTTAGTCGTTATTTTAAAGTATTTAAAGAAAATTTGTTTTAGACTATGTAACATTTCTCATGGTAAATATGAGGGTGTAAGAATCAGTGGCAGACACAATAGCAAAAAGGAGGGGGGAAAGGACCCCAATCAAAAACTCAAAAAGAAAATTCCTAGGTTAGAATTTAGGTGTTGCACGATTTACCTTTCACTTTCCTCTGTTATATTTTTCCACGGGCCCCCAATTCCAATCGAAACCGTTACTCTAACCAAAAAATCTATTAAACTTAATCAAAAAAACCAAAAAAGTTATTCGAAATCGACAAAAACACTAAAAAAAATCCCTCAAAATCAACCAAAAAACTTTAAAAATCCCTCGAAACGTTGTAAATAAGTTAAAAACACTTCGGACAATTTTACGAACCTTTAGTCTACCTTAAAGATGACTACAGTAAACAAAAATTCTGGATCCACCATTGGTAAAAATAACACATACTTGAAGATTCCATCTTTAATAACAGAAGGGTAAAAACCCTCAAATCTTTCAAAATATACAAACTTGGTCAAAATCTACAAATATGTAAAATACATCCAGATAAATGTTTAGGAGATTAAAATAAAGTATCTTGACATGTATGAGAGTTAGTAAAAGTAGTAGAATGGAATCACAAATGGGTCTTTGAGACAACCTCAAAATGTGTCCAACAATGTTGGAAAAGAGTGGAGAAGATGAATATACATTGAATCTAAAGCTTTGAATTCCTGGTTTTAATTTCTTAAATGCGTTTGGAGAAATAAATGCTCTTGGACCAAAATTTATTGAGAAATAAATGAGTAGGTGAGAAGTAATGCAGAGTTTGGAGCAAACAAATCAGATTTAAGGGAGAAACAAGGCGTACGCGACCTGTTGGATGTGACCTTGAGTCGTCCAAGCCCAGCTCCCAACAACCCAGGTTCTAACCAATTTTTGCTAGGTCCTTGCGCCCACACAGCCAAGCGTTTGCGGCCGTGAGCCATGTATTTTTGATCAAAATTTGATTTTTGCCAAGAGTGATACTCGATCAAACCACTACTCACAACACTTCCTCCAATCTATATCAAAATTAAAATACATATAAAACTTGAAATTATAGATAATAAAAATCCAGGTGGTACAAATGATCCAACGATTGTTAAAATACCTAAATAATAGACGATTAAATAATTAGTTTATTTTAACAGAAAAGTGAAGTTGCATAATTTTACATACAAAATGACATTGTTTCAGGTTTCCAATAAAATGTCTTTCCGTCCTTTTGAGGTAGAGAGAGGATAACTTAAGAGATAGAGACAAATAGAAAATTTATGTACCTTTTACATTCTTTTACTCTATGGTTCTCTTCATTGAAGCATTTTGCATAAAACAGAAATTTGTAGAGTTGAAAACCAATAAAAATTAAATAGGTTCGAGTTCTCAGCTTTCAAAAAAACAGGATACATAATGCTAGTTAATATTGTCAAAAATTTAATTCATATGATTGTATTAATTGTCATTGACTTACATACAATTTGTTTTATATATATATATATAAGGATCTAATCAAATAAGAACTGATTAGTTTGTGTTAACTGTGAGGTCCAATCTCAACCACAAATCAACGAATAAATTAGGAAATTAATAATTATGGTAGTTTGAGGTTAAATTATAATTAGAGGATATATTATGTATTTTTTAAAAAAACTCATCTATCCTCTCTTATCTCTCCGACCTCCAATCTCCGGCCTCCGGTGAAATCAGTATCATAGTATATCACAATGGGTATCACATTGTGTATCTTTGTTTATAAGTTTGAGTTGGTATCATAGTTTGTATCACAATGGTATCATAATATATCACAATGGGTATCATAGTTTGTATCACAATGGTATCATAATATATCACAATGGGTATCACATTGTGTATCTTTGTGATTTATTGGTACCTGCCGGATTAATGTTCACCAGAGGCCGGAGATTGGAGGTCGGAGAGAGGAGAKATGAGTTTTTTAAAAATACCTAAAATGTTCTCTAATTATAATTTTAACTCAAATTACAATAATTATTAATTTTCTAATTTATCCGTTGATTTGTGGTTGAGATTGAATCTCACAGTTAGCACAAACTAATCAGTTCTTCCTTGAATGGACCCCATATATATATATATATATATATATATATATATATATATATTAGAAAGGTAATCGCGTAATACAGCGAGATACATCTCGATTTTAATGTTCTTTTTTTTTGACGCTGTCGATGTTATAATACAATTTTATGTGTTTTAAGAAAGTAATAATGATTTTATTTTTGAATAAAATATAAATTTGAAGATATCATAAAATTTTGAAAAAAATATATCAATATTAGTATCAAATCAACTATTTA